TGGTGGCAGAGAAGAACATTGATCGACACTATCGCGGACTGCTGAGAGGACAGACAGATCTGAGTTTGCTTCACTCGACTGAGCATAAAGTCTCTGTGGGTCAGAACCGACCAGATGGCACCTCACACTAACAACCACCACCCTTGAGCACAAACCATTTGTGCCCTGGTATTTTCCCTTACGGTAGCAGCTGCTGCAAAAGACCAGTGATGAAAACAACATGACACTGTCTAAGGACAGACATGTAACACAATGGGACAGAATTGAGAGCTCAGAAGTACACCCATTCATTTTTGGCCAACTGATTTTCACAACAGTGGCAAGTGCATTCAATGAAGAGTCGTTTCTGAAGTCTTCTCACGACAGGAAGCCGTGGTGGCACACTGGGTTAAACACTGGGCTGCTATAAACAAGGTCATCAGTTCAGACATACTAGTGGTTCCCAGGGAAAATGTGAGGCTGTCTGCTTTGGGAAAGGTTCCGAGGCTTGGAAGCCCTAAGGGTCGGTTCTATTGCGCACTTCAGGGTTGTCAGGAGCCAAGATTACTGGACGGTAATGTAGCGATCCCCTGGTGGAAGTTTAAATGGAAAAACAAACGAGTTTTCCAACAACAAAAGCAATCTTTCTATCTCTGAGGGCAAAAGTCGCTCAAGTTCATGCCCACTGTCTCCTACCAGGGTTAACCCAAACACCACACTCCCTGCCATCGAGTCAATGCCCACTCATAGCGGGCAGTGCAACTGCCTCTGTGAGTTTCTGAGACTGCCACCTTTATTTCTTTGTAATGTAAAATGGATATTTTTTTATTTATTTGTACCAATATTTGGAAATCAGCCAGCCATTTTGGTACTGTTATTACCAAAATGCAGCAACATACAAGTAGCAACGATGGTAGCTCAGATTCAGGAGTTGCATCTGCTGGAGGTTGAGGTGTTTCTGTCTCTGAAACAGGTCTGTGAATATACACAGCTGGGTCTGAGAGAACAGGGTTCGCTGGACCCTTCTGTTTCTTGCCCTGGTCCTTACTATCCGTGCTCTTCTGTGCTCTTCTCTATAGAACCGGGCAGGTGGAAAAACGCAGGCTGTCCTGAAGAAGCAGGTCCACGGAGGAAGGGAGAGGAAAGGTGGCAGTGTCCGAGGAGGGTGCCTCAGTAGGTGACGTTTCCAAGGATATACCATTTTCTTCAGGCCCCCAAATCATAGGTTTTGGTGAAGTCTCTAGAAGTGGAAGCTTCAAGAAGGCTTTGGGGAGAAGCAACACTCATGTTGCTGAGTAGATGGGGAAGAGAGAGAGAGAGAGAGAGTGAGAGAGAGAAACCCTCCAAAACAAACAAACAAACAAACAAACAACATAAAAAAACCAAAGACCTAGATTTTTAGAAAGCAAAGTCAGACAAAGGCTTTTTGAATGGATAATATGAAGATCTCCAAATATGAAAGTAGTAAAGGGCTACAGTGAAGGTAAAATGTCTCAATAGCAATAGGAGGCAACCAGCCTAATTCAAAATAAATGTTTTGGAGTGTCCAGACTGTAACTCTTTATAGGATTAGAAAGCCCCATCTTTCTCTCTGAGCTGTTGGCGGCTTCAAACTGCTGACCTTTTGGTTAGCCCAATGCTTAACCACTATACCACAAGGGCTCCTCCCAACATGATGAGAATTCTACATTGTATGCCCGACCCTGTCACTCTTACCATCTTTATAGTCTTTCAGCAACAGGGGAATAAAAAATCTAAAAATCAACATAACACAAAACAGATAGCTATCTAATAAATCTGGAAAAACTCCTTATCCTAGAAGGAAAAAGAATGAAAGACAAAGTTTTCTACTAAAAATGAATGCTTATTTACAATTTACAACATTGCATTATATTCCACAGACATCCCCTAGTATTCTTACTTCAAATGATAAAAATGAATAGAATTTCCATTTTTAAAGAGCAACGTTGACACCTTGTGGTGAACATCTAAAATTAAAACAACCACTGTAAACGAGCAGTGTGGCTTTTAATTAAATGTCTGCTTGCACAGAAACGAACCCCTAATCCAGGGATTCCCAAGGTTTGAAAATGTAAAAATTCAAGTTCCAACATGCATACTACATGTAAATTTAGAATCATCTTGGACAACACTGAAATTAGCCTAAAATTTTAACTTATGGCCAAAGTATATGAATGAGACCTCAGGTTAATTTTCCTGCAAAATACACCCATATGAAAGAGGTTTGTTTCCTGGCCTCCAGTGCTTGCTGCAAAGCCCTTGACTTGGTCAAGTGTCGCCACCACCCCCCCAACCCCCCACCCCTTTTTCTCCGGTAATACTTGCACATTTTAAAGGCTCGAGAGAACAAACGCCTACTAGCAGCATACCACTGACGGTTCTTGACTGGAATATATTCTCAAAAACAGCCTCTGAGACCTGAGCTCTAATCCTAACTCCAATTTGAACGATCATTTATTTCAGTTCACTTTAGTAAACATTTACTGAACATCAACTAGTACAAGCCACTCTTCTGGATTCCACGAGAGACTCCAAGTTCAGGGAAACACGCGCTAACAACACTCAGATGGGCAGGAAGCATTAAACATAAGCCCCAGACAAGACTGAACACCTATGACGCATCATAACTGAGGGACAAAGAAGAAAAGGCATTTCCTAGAGCAGACGATGTTCCTCTGCATTGCTATCTGAGGGGACTATCAGAGAAAACCCTATTTAACTCATTAACTCTGACACAAAGACCAGGTAAAGTTTCTAGTTCCAAACCAGACGTCCTGGGCTCAATTCATTTGGCTGATAGACACTTGATCTGATGCCCCACCCACCAACAAAAAAATATGAATGTTACCAGTTAGAACTGAATTACACCAAGTTGATGAGGACGTCACTGTTAATAAGGCGTTCTGAATTGTTGGCAGGCCTGAGAAATCTAGAAGGTACCGGAGAAAGGAACCCTCCACGAGCCAAATCATTGTACAGTTCATGATAAATAACGCGCGCGGTGACCACACCGACATGGTCTTCAAGGCCTCTGTCATCTGAGGAGGCTGTAGTGAGGCTTCCTGCAATGTGCACAGGAGAGGCCCTGGTCAAGGAGGGCCAATGAGAGTCTGCAATCCTCACTTATCAGGAAGCCTTCCTTCCAGCCTCCTCTCGAGCTCGACCTTGCTGCCCTCCAACAGCTAAAGCATTTAAAGCCCCTTGGCCTCAGTTTCTATGCTTAAAAAAAGAAAAAAAGGGCTATCATCCTCACTTTGTGAACAGAAAAACCATTTAAAAGACAGTCGTTATGAAAATGCTTTGTAAATAAATGGTACCGATTTGCAGTACCACCACCTTAAGAAGAACCAGCGATAAAACGAACTAGCATAAACAGGGATAATCAAAACCAAAACCCAAACCCGAGCTCACTGCCAACGAGCCAATGCCGACTCCTAGTGAGCCTGTGGGCCAGAGGAGATCTGTCCCTGTGCAGTCCCAAGACTGAACTCTTTACAGGCACTGAAACCCCCGCCTTCTCCCACGGAGCTGCGGACCTTCCGGATCACAGCCTAATCTGTAACCACTACGCCACCAGGGCTCCATAATTAAAACTAAGCCTGAGATAATTAAGGCGTTCTCTATAACACCTATGCTTCTCCCAAAAGATTCTGTGCACTTGTAACATCACAAAGCTTTCGGACCTCCCGGACCCACTCTATTTCCTCTTTTAGGTTCTGTGATAGCTAATCTATCCTCTGCGCCCTGACTTTGTATTCTTTTTTCTTTTAAGTCTACTCATTTCCCCAAAAGAGCAACAAGAACAATAACAGCAACACACACACAGTCTGGCTTGAAAAAAATCTTTATAGTAATTCTATTTAAACCTTCACGTTATTGAGAGGGAAACAGACACCAAGAACTATTAGTGGCTTGCTCCCACACCTCAAACCATCTCTGGACATCACCTTTTCAAATACTTCAAATCCAATATACCCCAAATGGAATATAACCAAGCTCAAATATATGAGTTATATGTGACGCCTCCCGCTCTATCTCTACTACTGATTATAAAATCTTGTCTATTCTGTCGTTTATTTAAAGTAATCTGGGTGAAAGCACCTCTCAGATGAGAACCAAAATTTAAGCAAAGGTATGTGGTTAATTTGGCAGAAACCCTTGTCCCTTAAAACAATTTACACAGTCGTTGTAACCAAATCCCTTACCATCATGTGTAATAAGGCAGGCACTTCACAAAGGAAAGGGCCATTAAATTCTGTTTATAAAACAGCCATTTCCCCAATCATCCTTCTGGACTCTTCTTCTAGTAGATAAATAGCGGATGCCTAATGGTCTAAAATTGATGATGTGTTATGTAAACATGCGAAATTCTGCCCAAATTAAATTCCTATGAATAATCTGTCAGTCTGGAGTGAACTTAGGACGAGTGTCCCCGTTAGCTTTAGTTTGAACTGTGGCAGCCTGCCTCCTGGGAAATATGTCCTTGATGATGCACCACATTTAAAATTAAAACAGATTTTAAATCTTTCCGAATTAAGCCCAGACATTATGAAAAATAGCGAGCAGAGGCTTTTAAGCTTCTGATCATGAGATTCACACAAAGCTCACTTGGCTTGCCAAACATGATCCTTTTAAGACGAAGAGCAGGTCAACACGATATGCCCTGTTGGAGGGCTTTCCTCGCGATGCTGTGGTTGCTATGTCTTTGAAGCGTTTAAACCTCCACTCACCGGCTGCTGTTCTTTACAGCGCAGAAAACCCCCAAACGGCTCATGTCCATTCGAAGGTTTTCCACCGCTCGCCCTCCAGAGAAAGGAAATGGCTTCCCAATAGCTTTGTGAAAGAGAGGTCTTATGTAGCTACAAGATTTATGAAGCTCTCACTTAAAAATGCTAAGCCCGAAGAACAGCTTCTAAAGCTCTCATCCATTTCCTCCCACTAAACTGTCACAAACTCATATGAGGAAGATCCTTCAGGAAGCTTAGGAGGCCGTTTCTTACCGCAGCAAAGAGAAGACATCGTAGGAATTGCGGACACAGTTCTGATCCACCTGAAGGATGGTCTTCGGAACGTGTGGGTGACCCTGGAAGACAGGAGCCCACAGACTGATCAGTCGGGTGAAAGCAGCCTGCGCACAAACTCATCAAGAGATTTCTGTCTATTTTCGTCATGGTTTGTAAACACCGCGGGAGATTCAAATGGTTAGCATTTCAAGAAAAGTCCAAATGAGTTTCTATATAAAAGAGGTCTAAGCTTTGAGGCAACTGAAGTTTAAAATAAGTCTCTTCTAGTCACTTCCCCACAGAAACAGTAATTTATGATCTAGAGTGTGGTTTGCTTCTCAGGGAAAGCCCAGAGGTCTTTTAATGGATTAAAAAAAAAAAGAGTATTATTAAATACTATTAAAAAATTAATGTGTCAACTCTGCCTAGCCATCATCTATAATGTTTTTATGGAAGAAGGGGGTGGGGGTGGTTTCCAAGTTTTAATTTGGAATACCAGAAACAAATATTTGCACAGAGGCACAAAAGTGGTGGGAGCAACACAGCCAATTCCATGCAAAGAATACAACCAGTTAGTATCTCCATCATTTGAGAAAAGTAAGTTAAATAGTGGTTAAAAACAAAAAGACTCTGGGCCCCAAACCAAGTGGGTTCAAATGCAACCCTTTATTTTATTTTATTTTTTTTTAATCAATTTATTGGGGCTCATACAAGGACTTTGTAATCTTGAGCAAGGCACCCAAGATCTCTTAGTTTAACCTTGTTTTGTTCCTCTAAAAGACGATAGGATAATAGCATCTACCTCAAAAGTTGTGTGGACTAAGGGCATTAATATTCATAAAGTAAAAGGTATATAGTAAAGACTCTATAAGCATTTAAAAAAGTGTGTCTACAGACAGTAAACAGATATTTAGGAGACATGTAAGCAGGAAATGGGGAAAGTGTAACAAATAGTACTACACTGCGGGACCGCGATCAAGGTCTCCACACGAAATGTGGCTAAACTGTTCAATGGAAAACTCACTCATTCTGTAAGCCTTCGCCCAATTCACAATGAAAATTTTAAAAACCGAAAAAGGATTTTGAAAGAATGTCAGGGACTTTCTGCTAACAACAGGGCTTCAAACCAGTTCTTGGCTCAGTCATGGCCATCGAAGTAAAAGCACACGTGCTCACACAACGTGGGTGCACTGAAATGACGAGCGACACAAGAAAGGGCATGGTGGGTGCCGTCCTAGACACTCACTCTCCCTCCTAGAGAACGAGGCAGCATGCACGTCACATCGCAGCTAAACCCCTTGACGAGCACGGCCAGAAGAGAGCACGGGCCTCGGCCAAAGACTGAAGCCAGCGCTGCAGCTCTGAGTGAGGCACTCTCCTGAGTCCTGGCAACCCTCCAGTCGCCTGCATCCGGCTCCTGGAAGGGCTCACTCTGCCTCTTGTGAGCCTCCCATTCCAGGGCTTTGACCCCTAATTTTCCCCATTCCAGTTATCATTCTGGTGCACCCACAGTTTATAAATTCAGGTCTGTTCCAAATTTGCTGTGCTGGCCGTGTCTGAATGAGTTTAAACTGCTATGAAGTCTTGGTTAGCATATGATGCAAACACATGACAACTTAGATGCATTCAAACTTGAAAAAAAAAACTGCCAAAAACTGAAACAAGATGAAACAAATATCTGAATAGCCCTGGACATATTTTTTAATAAAGCAATTAAAATCCTTCCTACAAAAAAATAATAATAAAGTACAAGTCCAGACAGTTCCACTTATGAATTCTATCATAAAAGAGAAGAGAGAGAACAGCATTACTTCACTACCAAAATCTGACAAAGACACACACACACACACACACACACACACACACACACGCATGCACAAATGGAAGCTTAAAGACGCATGTCCTTCTGCATCGACACACATGGACCACTATCCCACCACAAAAAAGAATGACATGAGGAGGCAAGCAACAACATGAGTGAACTTTGAAAACATGCTCAAAAGATCACATAGGATATGACTTCCCCTTACACGAAACATCTAAATTCGATCAATTCCTCAGGGACAGCGAGAAGACTGGTGGCTGGCCAAAGGCTGGAGGAAGGAAGCAATGGGTAGTGACTGCTTACTGAGTCTGGAGTTTCCTTGGGACGTGATGACAGAGGTGGTGCTTAAATGCCTTTGAGTTACACAGTTTAATGTGTCTGATTTTATCTTAGATGAATTTTACATCAATGGGAAAAAGAAAAAAACATGGCTGTGAAAATCATCCACATATCCAAGGTGGAGAAAGAGGAGAGGCCAGAGACTGAAGACTGTGTTGGAAAATTAAAATCAGAAAGGCGCTCGAAGTAGACTTAGGAAGCTTCCTAAGAGATATGACTGACGCCACTCCACTTTGCCTTTTCTACTTGATGTTTGGTTTTCTCACTGTTATGAAAGCATCCACACACACTAACACACAGCTAAAAGCAACAAACTACAACAGGGAGCGAGCACTGACGTGAAAGGCAGACTCCTTGTTTGAATCCACCTGGCCTGTTGTATCAGTGAGGAAAATCATTGAACTGCTTTGAGTATCAGTGTCTTACACTATAAAATGAGAAAGTATCATAAAAACAGTTAACGAAAAAAAGGACAGAAATACAAGCAAAAGTGACATTCATGAGCATTTGCAGTGAGCCGAACGGCGCTGTCAGCATCTTCCCTGTATCACACACGTGATGCCCGCGCAATCCTGTGGAGCAGGAACTATTATTACCCCTCTTCTCACGGTGAGGAAACTGTGACTCCGAGAGGATTAAGCAGAAGAGCCATGCAGTCTGGCTCCGGGGCCCGCATTCTTAACGACCATGCTGTACTTGATGCTCTCCAAGACCCTTTCCAGTTCGAAAAGTCTGGGTCCATGTACATTTAAGGCAACTCGAGGATATATTAGTAAACCCTTCTGTTTCAGCTGCCACTTAGCAATTAACATTCTTGAAATATGCTAAAAGCCCCATTCTGAATGACACCGAACTTCACCAGATGTGCAATTCCGACAGATGGCTGAGGAGGGATTATACTGGAAAGACACGGCTCGTTTGTATCTGGTTATCTTTGTGAGATACTGCAAGTGCCAAAGAGCCCACAGAGATTGGTGTGTCACTCAAAATTCTTCTGTAGCCAGCCAGGTCTAGTCATTCTTCCTTGTAGAAGGGACAGGCACCCGTCAGAGTGACAGCCTCTTAAAGGGAGCAGGGAGAGGTACTTTCATAAGTCCACCGAATGGGAGGGATGATGTAGCAGATCCCTAGAACAGAGGCCAAACTTTCCTGCAAAGGTTCAGACAGTACATAGTTAAGGTTTTGTGGGCCACAGATGATCTGTCACATACCATTCCTTTAAAAAAAAATCTTTAAAAATGTAAAAACCATTCTCAGCTTGCAGATTGTAACAAAAGCAAGCATATGTTGAACTAGACTTTGCTCACTCTTATGCTGGATCACTGAATGAGTTGCCTTTTTAAGGTGAGTTTAAATTTTTAGATTTTCCATTAGCAACCGTTGCAAGACTGCTACTAGCTTTATTGAAACCATCAAAGCTCTCTTGAAATAATCTAGTTGATCCAACTACGTGCAAAGAGAACAGCACCATTGTTATTTGCCACTGAGTGGACTCAGACTTACGACCTTTGGACAGAAGCATCATCTTCACTGTTTTGAGTCCATTGGTGTTATTACGGTGCTGATCCACTTCAAGGGTCCCCACACCCTTACACGATGTCCTTCCTTTAGCAGTAGATCGCTCCTGATGACATATGTCCAAAGCCAGTGATGGGGAGTGTGCTCCTGTCATCTATGTTGTTTCCATCGGCTAATTTTCAGAAGTAGATCTGCAGATCTTCCACCCGAGTCTGTGTTAATGTGGAAGCTCTACTGAGACCTGTCCACCATGGGTAGCCCGTCCAGCATTCAAAATACTGGTGTAATTCTTCCAGTGTCAGGGCAACAAGCGGGCTACCACAGTACAACCAACTGACAAGTCGATCAAGCCCATTCCAACGCATGTCGGCTCTATAGGAAGGCAGAACGGCCCCCTGTGTGTTTCCAAGGCTGAAAATGGTTAGAGAAGCAGAGAGCCTCATCTTTTTCCAGTGTGGTGGCTTTAAACTACTGCCTTGGGATTAGCAGCCCAATGCATAACTCACCACACCACCAGGGCTAGGACAGCAAGCACGTATAGCCATTCATCTCGGTGGTCACTGAATAAGTCACGCATACATACACGGTGTTTAGCAACTACTACAGCCTCAAAGAGTACACACCCCAGTTAAAGTTCCAAGGTAAATAAAGCAAAAGTGCCATTAAGACAAACTCACAGCGACTCTATAGGCTCCCTGTATGTTGTAGAGACTGTAACTGTTTATGTGAATAGAAAGGCTCGTCTTTCTCCTGAGGAGTGGCTGGTGGTTTCAAACTGTTGACCTTATGATTATAAGCCCACTGAATACCCACTATGCCACCAGGGTGTCACCAGAGCTTTAAAAACTACAGAAGCTCTAGTGTGGTAAAAATTCCATATGGTGGAAGTGGCGTGTCAAAGGCAGTATTCAGTACTCGGGACGGATTAGCAGTAGTAAACAGCTGGACAGCAAGCATGACAATAGGAAACCAACAGCTACATTCAGAGAAAACGAAACAGTGCTCCAAACTGGTCAGCTTCCATTACCTAGGAATTTCTGGGAACCCTAGAAGGGAGAGTAGGGAAGGATAGAGCTCAAAAAGTAGACTGGGCGTTGGGGGTGGAGGCAGAACACAGAAAGCCTTGGCTGCAATGCTATACCGTGAAGACAACCCTTGGGTACAGGGTCTCATAAAAGATTTCTGAATAGTGTGTGGGGCCGGGGCACGGTATCATGATTGAAGCTGCATTTTAAGAAGGTTACTCTGGCAATGGCCCATATGATGAATTGGAAGAGGCAGTGCATCACAACACCAGTCAGGAGGCAATTTATTATAAATACACATACACGCTAATATATAAGGAGCAATGGCAATGAAAAGGGAGAAGTAAAGATAAAAGATAAACCCCAGTTGACT